ACTGTAAGCATTTGTGCGATAGATAACTCCATCGCCTACAGGGCAACATTCGCTCATATGGGAATACGCCAAACTGGATATCCTCCAATGGAATCCTAAACTTCCAATTGATCCACGTCATCGTCAGCCTCAAGTTGCACAGCGCATTATTTAAGACTCGCTTCAGGCGTGGTGCACGCATTGCCTCGAATCACTATATGACCTTTACAGAACTTTGTCTCATATTAGCCATATCGCATTAGTCATCGGTGGTTGAAACGTATCAGTTGCTCGATAGTGACAGGCTAAAATATGATGAAAAGGTACGTCAGCCTATTAAAAAGAGGAGAAATTTATTTTAGTGCCACTCTTAGTTCCGAACGGATTGGACTATAGCATTGATTGGTAACAAGTTTGTGACTTGATTTTTTAAAGAATCAAAAGCTACTTATAGAGTGCAACATAAGTGAAGTTTTCTAATAAATAAGACATATAAGACCGATTTGTCTCGTATTGAGTTATTACAGACCACCTTAATATAACAATACCGAGTTTCTATGAGGTTTTGTTTGATCTTCTTGACATTCATTAATGCCCCTATTATGGAACCTAGAATTTTCTCTCTACTTGGCTTCTGTTAAAGTTTTTTGCATTCCGACTGAATGAAATAGTTATAAACAATAATGTGAATCGCTACAGCTGGACGCTTTTCACCTGCTACGTAGCATCAGGTTGAACGTTCCCTCCTCTTTCTAAATTTTATCTTGATCTTCCCAGCGGAGTGTTTTTCAAGCTGCACTTGAACCGTTATACATATGGCTCATGCCTGTCTTATTTTTAATTCCGTTTTTGTAAAAGAAGACCAGAATTTTTATGAAATGCTACCTCTCAGTATCCTTGGACGTATATTCTTCTGAAACTCGGGAAACTGCCCTTGTGCTTGAAACAGAAGGGTTTTAAGCAGTTGTTACTGCCAGTGCTAATCTGTGGGTACGAAATGTACCCTAAGCCTAAAAATTATTAATAAGTTGCACGCTTCTTAGCGCAGCATGGAGATGTGTTATGTTGAGAAAAGAAATGACAGGAAGATGAATGAATGGATGAGATGGTAAACAATAGTCTGCGACGTCATTGCTTGCTCGAT